CCTTCTTTATTTTTTTAAAAAAATTATAAATTATTATATATATATATATATATATATTAGAATAGTTATATAAGGAGGAAGAAAACACTAAAATATACAGTTATAAAATGGGGTATGATATTCTTTCACTCTATTTTTGGATGGGTGGATTGATATGAAAATAGTAGACATAGCAAATAAAGATAAATAAAAAGAGTGGTAGATCCGATGGTTGAAGTGATAAAAAAAAAAATGGGGTTAATTGAGTTTTTAGTCTCTCATTTTTTTCATTAATTTTCATTTTTATTTCTTCAAAAAATATTTAATTGGTTTTAGTTTTCTAAAAATTATATTTTTAGTCCATTATTTTTTGTTAATTTTATTTTTAGTCTCTCGAAAAATATTTGACTGCTCTTATTCTCCAAAAAAAATTGTTTTGCTTTGCTTCTAGTCCATCATTTTTTTTGTTAATTTTGGTTTTCAAAAGCATGTTAGGAGATTTTAAAAGGTGTTAATTGTGAGATATCATAACTTAATCTTTTAACAAATATATACTTAAAAATGATCACGTAATAATACAAACTAAAAACAATAATTTTATATTTTAGAGAGATAAAAAAATACAGGACCAATTTATTTTAGAAACTAAAAATAGAAATTGCCAAGAGAAAAAAGAGAGACTAAAAATAGAACAAAATATTTTTTGGAGAATTAAAACTAGTATAAACATTTTTTAGGGACTAAAAACAAAAATCAAAACAAAATAATATTTTGGAGACTAAAACCAGTCAAATATTTTTTTGAGAGATTAAAATTTGAAATTGAAAAAAAAAAAATAGAGATTAAAAATACAATTAACTCTAAAATATGAGGAAAGACATAAAATAAATGAAAGTGAGATGAAAGAAAAACTATACATATAATATAATGAATTAAGACATTACAATATTGTTAAAAGAATTCAAGTCTAACTTTATTTCTTATTTATATTTTCATTTATTTATTTAGTTTGTTGTTTATCCTGTCTCATTATATTGTTTTTGCTTCCTTCTGATCATTCTCTTCCTAAAAAGTAAAAAGTGCACAAATATAATTTTTTTCACTTATTTTTATACTAATTAATTACAAAAAAGATACATTTCTTTAATTTAATTTTTCACATATGAAAGATGTAATTTTCTTTTACATAACAAAACTTTTAAAATAGTCATTACAAAAATGAATAATTTAAGAATAGGCGACAATCTAGGTCTCAATAACAGTACCAGTACTAGTGTACAAGTATATCATTACTATTTTTGAACTCATTAAAAAAATTATTTAGAAAATGAGGTGATATAAAAAGGTAATAAGTAGTCACTGATTGTGTCGACACCACTCTCCTCCTCCTCCGTTATCAGTTTCAGCATCTGAGATGAAATTCGGAAGGAGGAGGATCTCATTCTCTAACCATTCCCACACGATGCTCCACTTAAACGCCGTCGTTTTACTCCTCCTCCTCTTCTTCATCCCACCCGTCTCCCTCTCCCTCGCAAACGAACCCTCTCTCCCCCGATTCGCCGAGGCCCCACACTACCGCAACGGAGAAAACTGCCCCGCCCCTACAAACAACGCCTCCCTCCTCCACATCGCCATGACCCTCGACGCCGCCTACCTCCGCGGCACCATCGCCGCCGTCCACTCCGTCCTCCGCCACGCCACGTGCCCCCAGAACCTCTTCTTCCACTTCATCGCCGGCGACGCGGACTCCCTCCCCGACTCCCCACTGAGGCGGCTCCTCCAGTCGACGTTCCCCTCCCTGAGGCGGCAGTCCCGCGTGCACCTCTTCCGCGAGGGCGCCGTCTCCGGCCTGATCTCGGCCTCGGTGCGGCCGGCCCTGGAGCGCCCCCTGAACTACGCCCGCAACTACCTCGGCGACATCCTGGTGGACGTGGAGCGCGTGATCTACCTGGACTCGGACCTCGTAGTGGTGGACGACATCGGGAAGCTGTGGCGCGTGACGCTCCCCCCTTGGCGCGTGATCGCCGCCCCCGAGTACTGCCACGCGAACTTGAGCAAGTATTTCACGGGGCGCTTCTGGGGCAGCCCGGTTCTCTCGCGCGCCTTGGCCTCGAAAAGGGCATGCTATTTCAACACGGGGGTGATGGTGATGAATCTTGCCACGTGGCGCAAGGGGCGGTACACCCTGAGGCTTGAACGGTGGATGAGGGTCCAGAAGAGCAGCAGGATCTACGAGCTCGGCTCCCTTCCCCCCTTTTTGCTTGTTTTCGGCGGTGAGGTTGAGCCCCTTCCTCACCGCTGGAACCACCACGGCTTGGGCGGTGATAACGTCGAGGGCCTCTGCAGGGAGTTGCATGAGCATGAGGGTCCTGTTAGCTTGTTGCATTGGAGTGGCAAGGGCAAGCCTTGGCTCAGGCTTGATTCCCATCGCCCTTGCCCCTTGGATCGCCTCTGGCACCCTTATGACTTGTTTCTTCCTTCTTCCTTCTTCCTTCGCTAGCGCTACTCCCTACCCTCATCAATTCTACTTGTACACATTCATCACTTTTTCCTCTTTTTCTTTTTTTCATATGTTAGTCACTGCTTTCTACGTACGTCCCATGCACCAATAACAGATGCATGCTTCTTTCTGAATTCTGAATTCTGCCTTTTAATTTTTAAGATTACCAAAACGATTCTTCATTTCTTCAAATGCTGTTTCCACCCCGACTTAAATTATTAAAAAAATGGCTAAAAACATAGTGCCTTATAATAATTATTTGTTTTAATTTAATTCTATTTTTATTTTTTATTTTAATTTATTTTTTAATAAATTAATTGGTTGTATTGTCGGGTTTCCGTCCAAATTATTTAGACGGAGTTAACTATTGGACACGTGGATGTCACGTGGAAGCTATGTACATGCCATACGGATGTCAAATTTTTTCATGCATCTAAAACCAGAACGACCCATTTTGAAATCGGAACGGCCCATTCTGGTTGCACTCATGGTGTGTAAATTTTGCATATGAGATGACCCGTTCCAGATGCATTATTTAACACCAACGCATGCAGCAGAACGGACCGTTTTGAGACCAGAACGGGCCGTTCTGGCTTCCAAAACGGGTCGTTCTGGATTCAGAATGGACCGTTCCAGAACGTCAACCAACATAGTGCACCAGGTTCAAAAATCGAAAGCAAACCATTTACACATACACAATTTTTTTATCTAAAAAATAATATATTTTAAAAAATAAAATTATATTCTAATATATATATATATATTTAAATTATCGTATGTATAAAATATAAATTTCGAGGAGTTATTCATT